TCTAACTGAGCCTGTGTACAGGACGTTGTGTACTCAGTGCTTGTCGTTCTTCAGGTCACCCCTTGCATCCACTGGCGTTGTGATGTAAACACACAGCTAGTCAACGTGAGTCCCTTGTGTACGCAACACCTGTAGGAACAGTTCATAAGCTTACGGAGCGCATCTTTACAGCATTTAATACCATCAGAGGGGAGTGTGGCATCTTACGGAGAATCGGACAAAACATGGTTCGTCGTTGCACATTATGTAACGAAGTTGGTGGTCGTCACACTGAACATTTACTCTAAAGTAGTGCAGCCACTGATTCGATGTACAGTTTGATTGTACTCTATTGTTTTGTCAATAAAACTTGTCATAAATACTGTATTCTGCAGTTTCATTCAGATACCGACCTCATAGAACGTGCAAAGTGCAGTAGAAACTTTATGCGTATCTCATTTCCGGCTGTAGGTTCCTTATATCAAAACGTTCAAAATTTCATCCTCTACAATCCCCAAATTTTTAAAATGTCATTCTGATACACCCCGTGTATGTATATACATATATTACAAACTTATTTCATTAGTAAAAGTGCATAGTTGCAAAATAATTCATTTTTATTGTTTGGGCTACAAACAGTTCAAATCCGCTACTTTTTAACCTTCAGATCCGGCAACACTGCACGGACGAAGAAGTTTTCGTCGCGAATCGGCACATAGCTTAAGCAATGGCGTGTTCGAAGGGGTACACTCGGTAAGTAATCCGACAATTTTTTGTCTATAGCATATTTTATATCGATCATTTCAACAAATTATACATGTTTTGGAAATATTCGAGTGAAATTAGTCTAGATTTAGTTAATTTTATGGAAGTAAACCTCTCAAATAGCCGTACCCCCTAAACTGTACAAGTGCCGGCGAGTAAGCTTCTTTGGACATATAAAGAGAATGGGGGAAAATAGGTTAACAAAACAAAGTTTTACGTATTTCAACAACCAAAAGAATGAGAATCAATGGATCAATGACACTCAAAAAGACATGACAGAAATGGGCATATCTGAAGAAGATATCCAAAACAGGGAAAGGTTTAGAAACAAAATAAAGAACTTCAAGGGTTTTCAGGAAAAGGAAAATAACAGACGTGGAAGACTCTTCACTCAGGAGCAAAGACAACAGCAGAGCTAGAGAATGAAGAGGTATTAGAAAGAAAGGAAGAAGAACAAAGGGAAGAGGGAAAAGCAAGTCATAATTAGTTGTTTGCACGTGGTCCAAACATGGCCGGAATCGACACAAGAAGAAACATTCTTAAAAGCTGTATTACAATCCGAAATCATCTGTTTTCAAGCAATAGGTTTTATTTAAACTAAAAACTATTAATGATTCTTTCACTATAAAAGATCAGAAAGTAATAATTATTTACATCTTATAACAATAACTTACTTATTTCTACAGTTAAAAGTAACTAAAAATAAAATAACGAACACGAAACATTTTCAATTTGTATATTGTGCTTAGCGCTTCTTTTGATTTCATAAACTTTCGTTATAATTTATATATTTTAAATGCTTGTCTTCGGGTCGTCAATGGAAAGGGATGCTTTTTAAATTTATAACAGTTTCTCGTTATACGTCATTAGTTTTTCACCGATTACNTGTATATTGTGCTTAGCGCTTCTTTTGATTTCATAAACTTTCGTTATAATTTATATATTTTAAATGCTTGTCTTCGGGTCGTCAATGGAAAGGGATGCTTTTTAAATTTATAACAGTTTCTCGTTATACGTCATTAGTTTTTCACCGATTACCGAAAAAATGTATCCTAAGGCTAGGACTCCACTACCGTAAAAACGGCGTAAAAACCCCTCGCCGTAAAAGCTTTTAATCACGTGACCTATTTGCGTTTGCGCTCGGATTATGGTGGAGGTCCGGCTAGCGTGAAGTTTTTACGGCAACGGTGCTGCCCCAAGTGTCGAAAGTAAATACTTCTTCGCACGTGAATTGGTAGAAACGAAAGACTGTTGTATACGTGATGTATCGATATAAAGACAATGATTATATTCTACGAGTTTTTTTGTACTATAATTACAAATGTAGTAAAAATAATATCTTTACTTTCATAGTAGTAACTTTTATTATCGTATTATTAAGATAATATACAGCACTTATAATCTTAGCTTTTTTATTATATACTCCTCTAAATTGAAGGATTTCCTTTGGTATCCGTTATTATAATCAGGTTACCTCTTGTCATTGATACACGAATACTTTCGGATGTTTTCGATAAATCTTTCCGGATCTATTCTAGAGTAGCCACGAGGGAACTTACACAAAAGCTCGTTTTCCGCCATTTTAGCTCCGTGTCGCGATGACCTAGATTTCGCTGACTTCTGATTGGTGGAAGGTACCTCTTTACGGCCGTATTCGCGTCGAAAGTTGAATATAGCTCAACTCACTTTTACGCTGGTTTTACGGCCTGCTCGAGCGTAAGATATCAGAGTCACGTGATTAAAAGCTTTTACAGCGAGGGGTTTTTACGGTAGTGGAGTCCTAGCCTACCATCGGATAATCTATTGTATTCAGACAATCCAAAAATATGTAAAATAACCAAATTCAAATATTAACAAAAGTTAAAGAAAACAAACAAATTCTAGAACTGTACAAATATTGTTAGGATATATTGTACAGATTATGAAATACATTATTTTTTTATAGTGAACTTTCATAATATTAGTCATTTTTTAATTATAAAGAATGCAGAAAATGCAAAATTCTTATGTACAGTACAGTAGAATAATCTTGTTAAATTAAAAACTATAAAATCTCTAGATTAATTTTAATTATTTTATAATGTAAAAAAAATCTTCGTTTAGAAACATATTTTTAGAACTTTATTCGGGAATTGCTGCAATGTTTTGATGGATTTCGTAGATTGGAAATAATGGAAAATGAAGATTCTAATGCTTTGGCCATCTGCAATTTAGTAAATTAATAAATTTTAAATTAAAATTACTAAAATTTTTAATAAAATTGTACCTTTACTGGAGTTTTTCTGGTAAAAACAAAGAAATTCCCACAACTTATTCCAAGCGAAGTCCCTTTAAATTGCTTCATGAAATTCAATATCTACATAATAATATTTGTTATATGAAATTAATCGTGTTTTTTTTACCATTACTTTAATTAAATATGTTTACTATTATTGATATGTAAGTAGAAGTCTAAGTTAATTACCTTTAACTTTTTAGTGATGCAAATTTGCAGATAACTGAATTTTCGGATTTCTTGAAATGATCCGTATACCTAAACGTTAAAATATCGACATTAAAAATCTATTTATTTAAATTAACGTATTCATTTTCAACTATTTGCTTAACAAAAGAAAAAACATCTTAAAACTAAAGATATTAAAGATTTAAAAAATGTGTAGATACTTACAGCAGAAGAAAGGGTAGAGATCATAAAGATGAAATAAAGCCACGTAGTTACACCGATAACTAAGAAACAAATAACTATTAAAGCATATATGATGCTCCATTTTCTAACTACATTGATGATACTAAATGAAAGAGCGTAGAACCAAATTATTGAATTATATATCAAAAATAATGAATTTTCACAATAATCGTTTAGATGTTGAATCTGTTCTGTTAATTCTGTGTGCTTTATAATTATTAATTCCAATTTTTTGTATACGAGAGGATCATTTTTAACGTGTTGTAACTCTTCAGATAATGCCAAGAAACGATGTTTAATAGTAGTCAGAATTAAGAAAAATATCGTGATAATAACAATAGCGTAACCAAACATGAGACAATTGTTGGTTACCATAAAGGTGGTACAGATAAGAGCCATTGTTTCTCCTTCTATTTTACTAATTTTAAAATATCTTTTTGTAATTATATGATACGAATTAATGACGACAAAGAAAATAATAATTATCGTTTGTATATTAAGGAAAGCTCTGATGAATCTTTTAATTATTTCTTTCTCTCCAACATAACTCGTTCGTTTTAATGTTAAAATAAGCAGTTTTCTACGGCAGATGGAAAATATGGCCGCTAACGTAAAGTGTATAATGAATGTATATCCTACAAAGATTATTTTATCTTCCGAAAATTCGTTAAACCACGATCCGCAGGGCATTCCAATGTTGCTGTTACGGAATAGCATTATAAGCATATGCATTATGGGTTTGATCCACAATATACATTCCAATATTATTGAGTATATTTTGAATGTTTTGGTTGATCTTACACTTAAATGAGCACATATTTCGAAACAATCGATTCCATAAAATCGAATAATTTCACCCAAAGGACTGATTGCGCATGAAAAACATATTACCTCTTGTTCCTCCATTCAGATATATTTTCACTATTCTGTTGGTCTTACAAGTATTGTTTGTTTCTGGTTATAGTATAACATTAATAATAGCGATTGCAATCTCGATTCAGATTGTGCTCTCATGTTTTATAACATTCTTTGTCAAGAAATTAAAATATTGCTTCTTATATAAAAGATTTAATAGTCTACTTTACTTTGATGTATGTTTAATAATTAATAAGATCAATAATGTTTTAATTATTCGAACATTGATATGTTGAAAGTAAATTGGCAAAAAATGAATTCCGAAAATCATAAATTCCTGAATATGATTTTGTTATATAAACATTATTTAATGTTATATCGATTTTTATAATAATGAAACAAGCTATTAGGACTATATAATGAAGCTTTATCTTAATGGATTTTAATTTAACAATTAACGCACTGAGGTAATAATACTTCGCTGTAGCATTACTTAGCGCGTATGAATAAATAAATAAATTATGAACTATCATAATTTTAATTTACTTCTAATGTCCTACACTTTGGAGCAAAGTATACTACTCTTTTTTATCCTGGCTACACATCAGCATTTATCCTAATTTCTTTTGTCTTAGACCAAATGTTTAATGATCAAATTGCCGAGACATCAGGATAATGCGTCAGCCATATCCAGATGTCTCGGGATTCCAAATCTGGACGAACAACCTCCATATATTTTTCGGAAGGTGAGAATGGTCGTCCCGAATATTTCGGGTCTCGTCCCTCACCACCCGTCTCTCCATTGTGGATCTGGCCGAACCCATAATGAGCTTGCTTAAAAAGGTCCTCTTAGTTCTCACAGGGCGGAAAGAGTAAAAAAAAATCGCAAAGCGGAAAAACCAGAGGGCGGAAAGGATCAGTAGTCTATATCTATGGATAAGGGAACGTTGCTTAATTAACCCAAAGACATTCTTATCTATATTTTTTATATTTTAGGATGTTTTTTTTAATCTCATAAATTTGTCAGTTTTAATTTATAGAACTTATAACAGAAATATTAAATATATATTTTTTTTATTACTTTTTAAAACACATTATCTTTTAGTCCAGAGAGAGAAGCGCCTCTAGTGGCAAACTGTGAAGGATTCGAAAAACTTTTCAATCTTGGCGGTAAATTTGACATGTGAGTAAAGTAAACTATTCGAAATTTCAATTTATAACGAATAATTTATAATGTTTTTAAATATTAAAGAATAAAAAGAATAATTATGGCCAAGAACAAACGTAAGACTGGATTGACTCCACGTCCTATTCGAACAAACGATCGTTCTTTTTCATCATCACCGAGGTTCGTTAATTCTTTTCAAATATAATTTTTATATTTATATCTTAATTAATTAAATTCCCAAACATTTTTTAACCTATTACAAAACTCAAGAATATTAAATTTTAAAATGAATACAAAATGTTTAGAAATTTATCTTTAATTATATCTAATTCAAGAATTTTTAAAATATTTTAAAAATTCTTGAATGTTAATTAAGTATATCTAATATGACAATTAGGTCATCCTACAGTTTATGTTGGTCAACATTGACTATATATATATAGATTATATAACATTGGTAACAATAAATAATCCTCGCTTCTGATGATGAAACTTTAATAATTTGTTAAACAAATGCTTTCCACCTTACCTGAGGTCTACTTCGGGTTATAGAATGATTCCAAAACCGGAATGCTAGGAAAAGAACGTTTTTAAGATTAAATTTAAAATATTACAAACATACAAAAAAAACAATATATTATTTACTGGCATGCTACACTCTCAAATTATAAGTACGCGAGGGTTGCATTATGTGTGTACGATGGACTCGCGTATTTATGACCGTTAAGTCTGTTTTTTTTGTATGTTTGAAATATTTAAAATTTAATCTTAAAAATGTGCTTTTCTTAACATTCCGGTTTCGGAATCGGTCTATAACCCGAAGCAGACCTCGGGTAAGGTGGAAAGCGTTTGTTTAATGAATTATTAAAGTTTTATCACCGGAAGTAAAGGTTATTTATTGTTATTATTAGTATTCGTGATTAAGTTAGAAGATATCTTTATATAACATTGGATACATAATCTAATATGTAATGCTGTAATCTGTAAATTGTTGTTAAATTGAAGTTCAATAAATAAAACAAGTTAAAATATTTTTGAAAAAATGTGGATAAATATTTTTGAATTACAATTTTTTTATTTTCTTAATTTTTAATTTATCATTTCAAAAATTAATATTTTAAAAATTACATAATACAGATTGTCTGAAAAAGAACTGATGGATTACAGAAACTCTTATTTACTTTAGGAAAATAGATACAACCATACGGTTTGTCCTAATTAGGGAGCAAACTCATCTTTGATACAACTCATAAACCATATTTCCTGAAAAGGGATGGTGGTGGGGTCAAACCAATATACACACTTGGACACATTAAGGAGGATTGGGTTTTGACTTATTTCCCGTTTTTTTGTGTTTTGTTTTTTAATGCATAGATTGCATACTATCTGAAAATGGTAAAGGTAAAAATATCCAATTTTTGGAAGTTTATCAGTATCACCTTTTTATTAAGCAATAAACAGGGAAAGTAGGAAAAATCAAGGATTTTCATTAGTGTTTGGAAAAAGTCAGGGAATTTGCCTGCTTGGCTGCCTTGTTGATTTTTTGCTCACAATATGATTGACTAAGTGTAGCTGTCTGCAGGCAGCAAGAAGTTATATGGTGCAATACAATTTATGAAAAAAAGTGCAAGATATTTTCAGAACCCAAAGTTTCTCCCAAGCATACACAAAATTTCTCCAAATATTTACAAAGTACAAAAAAATGATAGATAATTTTAATTTAAATGGTTTTACTTATAATTTTTTCATTTTAATAATTTTGATTGCATAACAAAACAATTTCTGGTTTTTTTTTCCTAGTTTATTAAAATTTTATAAAGTTCAGGAAATTTAATAAGAGATAAATTTAATAAATATACATGAATTATACAGGATTTTTAATGAATAACAAATAAATAATTGCCTTTTTTCAAAGCCATGTAGATTTATGGTTGTGAATTAAAATTAATAATAGAATAAATTACTTTAATTTAATAAAATATATGTATATGTATAACTGTTAATTAGAAAAAACTAATTAAAAAGTTGGAGAAGCAATACCATATGTGCATAATAAGTCAAATGCTAAATAACAACACACCACACCATGAAATACGTAATGACGAACGCAGAACCAATAATCGGTGTGAAGAAAACCCCACCAGTTATTGGTTCTGTGTTCCGTAATAATGGAAAGGACCTACCTGGCAGATGCAATAGGGACCTTCTGTATATTGGGGCCACTAAACTTTCTATGAGAACCAGAATGCAAGAACATTTCTCAGACATGCAATATGCTAGAACTTCCACAGCCCTCTCTGTGAGGACCCGAACAGGGGTCGACTGAGAGGTCCGAATTATGGGTTCGATCGAAAATAAAGAGCTCCTTTTCAGACGATAAGGAAACGGATTAGGTGTCTCGATTGAACAATGCAATTGTTTTTTTTCGGAAAATTAGTTAAACAATGGAAACGGAGAAATTCGAGGAAAACGCGACGAGAGAGAGGATCATATTCAGTCGCTATGTTAACCTCTCCCGCGCCCTCCATTAGGTTTCGAATTGTCACCAGGTGACAATGAGAGACCAATGGAGAGGCGACTGCTGTAAAAAAATCTATAAATTTGTGCGACTCAAGAGACGAAGGTTCTTGGTTCGTAGTTTTTGGTTCTTGGTGTTTGGATACGTAGTGTGTCGTCTCATGGACGGTCGTGCTCCAGATCTTAGAAAAAAAAGGACATTTTGGAACATCGTGGAAGCATCGTTCTCTGGGTGCTCCTAGCAATCGACAGATTCGTCGGATCGTCCGCGAGAAGCCGCCGAAAGCCGTAATCAACGCCCCGGGGCCCACCGAGTGTTTCACCGACAGCGTCCATCCACTAGTGACGAAAACCGACTTTTACGAACTTTGTTTCGAACTTTATCCATGCGCTTTGGGGTGCTACCTCGTCTAACAAGTACTTTGTAAGGAAAATTTCTATGTTTAATAAACGGTTACATGGTAAACCTGTCTCAGGCAGTCAGTCTGCGCCCACACGACAGAAAGAACCGCTCGGCTGTCGAGAAACCTTCACCCTAATCGGCTAGCCTCACATCTCTACCTATAAAGCAGATCTGGAAATTGTAGCGGACTTCATGCAGGCCAAACTTCTCACAATATTCCAGATGGATGGAGGTCATAGAAACCTTTAAAGCTAATTTTGAGTCATCTTATATGAATTTTAAGGAGGAAATGATTATGTCGATGGCCTGGCAGTCTCTACTTGATACAATCGTATAGTTGTTGGTTGAATCTGTTTTGTGCAGGACAACACGTGCAGATTTAAATTTTTATACTCATAGTTCAAATTATGTTTCTTTCAAAAAACGCTTTTATGTTTCAACATGACATTCTATCTGGTAACTGTTATAATGCTGAAGAACTCAGGAGTTAGAAAACATTTGTCTTGAGATAATTTTTTTGTTTTTTTCACACTAGTGTGTTCATCATTAAGTCAAATGCTGTTTTATTTTGTCAATGTGCAATACTGTAAGGGATGTGAGGGTCAGGAATTTGTACAAAGTTGGTCAGGGGAAATTAGGGAATTTAAAAGAAAAATGTGAGTAGGAACCCTAAATAAAGTTTCATTTTTCTCCCTATAAAAGTTACAATGCTCTCTTTATTTTCACAGGAGAAGAGAAAAGACATGAGATTTTTTGTAGAAGGTAGCTGCTGGTACACAAAATGCCATCGAAAAGTGGGGAGGGAGACCAATAAATTCCCAAATTTAGGGCAAGTAGTGGCCCTTTAAGAAATTTCAATAAGTGCACTGTGTGTTACTCTCACAATATTGAGACAATATTCAATCTTAAAATGTTTGGTCTCCCTCCCCACTTTTCGATGGCATTTTGTGTACCAGCAGCTATAGATCATCATTTCCTCCTTAAAATTTATATAAGATGACTCAAAATTAGCTTTAAAGGTTTCTATGGCCTCCATCCATCTGGGATATTGTGAGATGTTTGGCCTGCATGAAGTCCGCCACAATTTCCAGATCTGCTTTATAGGTAGAGAGGGCTGTGGAAGTTCTAGCATATTGCATGTCTGAGAAATGTTCTTGCATTCTGGTTCTCATAGAAAGTTTAGTGGCCCCAAAATACAGAAGGTCCCTATTGCATCTGCCAGGTAGGTCTGGGTCCTTTCCATTATTACGGAACACAGAACCAATAACTGGTGGGGTTTTCTTCACACCGATTATTGGTTCTGCGTTCGTCATTACGTATTTCATGGTGTGGTGTGTTGTTATTTAGCATTTGACTTATTATGCACATATGGTATTGCTTCTCCAACTTTTTAATTAGTTTTTTCTAATTAACAGTTTTATATATATATATTTTATTTGCAGAATTATTAAAACTAAAAATAAAATGTTTTATTAAATTAAAGTGGTTTATTCTGTTATTAATTTTAATTCACAACCATAAATCTACATGGCTTTGAAAAAAAGGCAATTATTTATTTATTATTCATTAAAAATCCTGTATAATTCATGTATATTTATTAAATTTATCTTATTAAATTTCCTGAACTTTATAAAATTTTAATAAACTAGAAAAAAAAACCAGAAATTGTTTTGTTATGCAATCAAAATTATTAAAATAGACTATAGCTGCTATAGCTATAGAGACCAATAAATTCCCAAATTTAGGGCAAGTAGTGGCCCTTTAAGAAATTTCAATAAGTGCACTATGTGTTACTCTCACAATATTGAGACAATATTTAATCTTAAAATGTTGTATAATTAGTCTTGAGTAATAGCATTAAAAGAATGCATTATAAATTCATTTTTTTAATGTTTCAATATCTGTAACAGATCTTTGATAAACCAGGCCATTCACATAACCCCACAAGAAAAAATTCAAACAGAGCAGGGTGAAAATAATATTGGTTTAGTTTGTCCTATTCATCTGTTAGGAAAAACTGCAATAACAGTAGCATCCTGTGTTTTTTTGTAATGCAAAAACAAATAATTTTATATTTTGCTGAGTGTAACTGTAAACCCTGTGTTGATCTGTTTTTCTTCAATACATAATACTTTTCATTATCTGACAATTCTTTTTTGGACACACTGTATTTAGTTAATTTGAACTTACATGAATGAATTTTGATCTAAAAATATTTATTAATTTAATTTAGTTTATCCACATTCATTATTGAGATTAAATTAATTAGCCTAATAAATATGGCTATAATAAATTGAAATTGGGGATGAGAAACAAACAGATGAAATTTTTTACAACATAGTCTTTAATTACTTACAATCAAATTTTAGAATGCATTTAAGGTACCAAAACTCCTCACCAGCCTACATACATCCATGCAGTATAAACACAAACCCATCAATAAATCTCAACACAAATAGCAGTTCCAAACTAAAAATTCTTTTGTGTAAATACGGTGCACTGTTTACATAATATAAAACCAATACATTACAATACAGTAGACCACCCCTGACATGGGTTCATATAACACGGCAAAAAAATTGCGATCATGTTCGTATAACATGTTAAAAGAGACTCGTATAACACGATAAAAGAATGAGACAGATTGTCGTGTCACAACAGGATTGGTTGAATCTGAACCAATAGTGGATGAGCAGCCAAACTACTTGCCACTGTCCAGCGCCACGCGTATATACAGAGAGTTTAGGCGGGAAAGTTGAATTTACTATCGTCTGTACAGTATATAAATTAGGTACTGTCAGTCTAATACTATAATTTTTACATTGTCTAAAATTTTGTCTTTAGTCATCAGAATAACTTATCAGGAAACGCGTCCGCCGTTCGATGAGCCACTCTGTGACAAAAACAAGCTTAAGCAATGGCATCATCAAACGGTGCACACTCGGTAAGTAATCCTACAATTTTTTGTTTATAGCATACTTTATATGGATTGTCCCAAAAAATTATATGTGTTTTGGAAATGTTGAGTCAAATTAGTCTAGAATCAGTTAATTTTATGGAAGAAAACCTTTAAAACAACCATAGCCCCCAAACTGCACACATGCTGGGATGTGATTGGCTCATATATTTAAGTGACTTGTACAACACGGAATTCATATAACATGGAATGTATCTATCATGTTTTAGGGGGTCTACTGTATACTAAAAAATTAAATAAGTACCAAACAATAAAATTTTCAATGATGAACTATATTCTATCCAGAACTGGTAAATTCCATTCATTTTTTCTCTTTCCAAATTCAAATAAATAACACCACTGTTAACAATAATTTACTATTAATTATGTTACAGATTTTAAAGAACAAATCAAATCCATGCACTTACGTTATTACAAATTAGTTTTCCCTTAAATATCTTTACATTAGGAAAAGTACCACTCAATTCATTTCATAAACCTCTGTTATTAAAAGAATAAACTATCTAAACCAAATCATACAAATATAATATAAATTTAAAGCATACTTAACATTACTTTTTATTGTTTTATTTTTCTTTTCACTCACAACACAATGTCACTTTCACTTCAATATCAATTTTGCCTCAATCTCAATCTTTAATATGATCATCATCTCCATCCCTCATGTAACTTCAGTCCCATGCTATTATTTATTCTATCATTTTCAGGTACTTTCAAGATTTCAGTATGTTCTTGTAATTTTCTTTTTATTTGATTGTTTTCTATCTCACTACTACTGATATTGGGCACGGTTCTCAATGCTCTTATGGCCACACGGACACAATACTATGCTGAAACAGGTCACTATCTTCACAAACATCAGCATGGATTTAGGAAATATAATAATTTGTAAATAGCAATTTAGTTTCTTTATCATTGCATAAATAATGTTTTGTTTAGTTTTGTTATTAAGTTATTTTATTAATTTATTAGTCCTTGCTTTACTAATTTTCAATATACAGTTCAATAATAAAGTCCCTCTGTAGTGGGCCATGCTCATGTGGTGACATCGTAACATACTTTAACTTTTTTTGATGTGTGGTCTGCCTGTGACATTCTTACTTCATTCCTGGAAGCTTCTTCCATTTTTTCTCTCAATGAAGAGGGACTTTACAGTTGCACTGTAATATAATATACTTGCATTGATTGCACTTTTAATATTTTACAATTGTATCAAATAATAACAATAATAGTTGTTGTTATTTTTTTGTTTTCAAGAGCTTTCAGAGAATCTGTCATAAAAATCAGAAAATGTAAAACATGTTCTGTTTTTATTAATAACTAAAAAATGATTTTTTTTCCAGTTTTATCCATGTCTTTAAGCAAGTTTTCTATTATAAAACCTTGCTTTAGATTAATATATTTTTCAGATAAAAATTGTTAATGAGAAACTTTCCTTAAATGATTTTAAATTATCAAAAATATTATATTTTATAAATTAATTATTTTTCATTTAATATAATAATCTTTAGTTTTGACTTTTATTCTAATATATTATTTAAAGTATTTGGAAGTAAAGATTAGTATAGTTAATATATATTTTACTTTCTGTAATGAGTAAAAATAAAAAATAGTAATAATAGTCTCTTTTGATCTTCCTATGAAAGATTCTAGAAGCTTTGTAGCTGCCTTGTTAAATATAGAAATTTACCTAATTGTAATTTTTTGCAATACAGTACAAAATTTAAGTTTTTGGTGAAATTAAGCACACACACATACACACTTCTGTTTATTAATATTTACAACTAGCAGATGAGCCCAGCGTTGCTTGGACAAAAAGTAACAATAGCGAAGATTAAGATTATTAGATTATATCCAATCTTATCCATTTTCAGCGGGTGCATGAATTAAATTCCCTCTTTTGAGACTAATTGCTGTAAAGAATTTTTAGATGGTCTAAAAATGTGTTTGATTTTCTGAAAAAACAGAAAAATCACATCTAAAATAGTACAGTAGAAGTTGATCTTCAGGGTAAGCCGTAATCCTCTCCCTCTCCCCCACTGGGGGAATATCGAAAAATCCGTTCTTAATGTGCAATCTCATGACGTGTCCTAACTGTTTTCCAAATTTCAACTTTCAACTCCTAACTGTTTGCTCTTGGCAATGATGAATCAACTAGGACATGTAATTTTATATATATAGATATACTTAACTTATTGTGATCACTGTATTGTTATCAGTCATTTAATGTAATCATAATTTACATGTCTCAAAACACACTTTAAAATACACTTATAAAATTTGGTTGATTATAATCAGAATTCAGGTATAGTTTTCACTTTAAGTAGGCATTTTATGGCATATTTTTATAATTTTTATTCTTTGCCCATCTATAATTAAAACTTAAACTTTGTGGACAGAAATCTCAAAAGTTTTTAATAAGTTTTCAATTATATTATAAACAAATTTATTTCATATACTTTTCAAATAGACTGTAATCTGTACAAATTTTGAAATTCATTCTTATGTAATTTTATTATATAAAGATTTTTTTAATGTTTCAAGGAAAAATTACTTACCAGTATTTAGTAAAAGAAATTAATATTTTTTCTAGCTCCAGTTCAAAATACTGTAGTGAACTTTTTATTAGATCTTAGTTTTATTGTAGAAATAAATATTAATTTCCATGTGTTTCAAATACATGCACTATTTTGAACACATTTGTAAATTGTAATTGAAATGAGAAATTAAAATTTTTTTTTGCAATTGCCTGGAAAGCTGATTTGGATAATATACATACCGTTTATGTAAAGTCATTCATCATCCTTTACCCAGCCATTGCATTGGTGATTTGCTTCATCATCATCAATCTCCATGTTCTTCATTCTTACATTATGGTCACAAACTATGGATAATGTCAATAAATTATACTTTGTTTCATCCTGTTTCTTACTGTTCTATGCCCTAATATAACGACTTCACTGATTACTATATTCTCATATCTGTGTAATTTTTGTTTTCAGGTTATTTTTAACACAGTTTTATTGAACATTTCTGAATTGTTTCTACATATGTACTTTTTCATGTAGAAATTTATTAAAGCAACTTTGTATAAAACAAACTATATATTATTACATATATGAGTATTAAAATTAACTATATGTATTTTTAATGTTTTTGGTACTCAAAATTAGATCAATCAGTAGCACTTCAAACAGAAGTCCTCAGTACAAGCATATGAAAAAGCCAATGCGTAAGAAACGTCGCTATCGTCCTGGTGTTAGAGCAATAATGGAAATAAGAAAATATCAGAAGAGTTCTGTAAGTATTTTTGTGATGAAATTTTGTCCATGTATATTAAAAAGTAATGAATAATATAGATATTTTATGCAAAACTCAATTTATTCTACATTATTAGTTGTGTTTTATTTTAATCTAAATGGTAATCAGAAACATAATCTTGCACTTTTTTACATTTACTAGAATCTTCTTATTAGAAAACTGCCATTTATTCGATTGGTGAGAGAAATTACTGCCGAATTAACGGGAATTTTTTATTACTGGGCCAGCCAAGCACTTCTAGCTCTTCAAGAAGCTGCAGAAAGTTATCTTGTCAATTTGTTTGAAGATTCATACTTATGCTCTTTGCATGCTAAACGAGTCACATTGATGCAGGCAGATATACGTTTAGCCAGAAGAATTCGTGGACGTGCACAATTATGAAACAACAGAAATGTTTTTAAAATATCAGTGTTCAAGCAAAACCTTACTATACTTCATTTACAGACTTACTACTAATTGAAATCTAGCAATTTTTTTAAAAAATCAATACATTTGATACAAGTTGTATGGAAACATTTTCAGTGAAATTATCTTGAATTGAAAGTTCATATGGTCCACATGTACTAATACTCCAGATATCTATTAATTTTAATTAATGTTTCAACTGTTTATTACATTAAAAATGTATTCTGTAAAAGCTTGATTTTAATATTAATTAAATATGTAAAAATATATAAATGTATAGAAGCTATAACCCATAAATACATGCATGTTTTATCATGGTCTTGAAATCATCTTCCATTGTAAATAGTTCAGTAGAATTTATCAGTTTTTCTGCCTATTCATCTATTATTATATTATAATCTACATCATTGTAAGCATTGTTTTGATACATGGTTGGGAATATTATGGTATGTATTGTATTTTGAACAATATTTTAAAATATGTATAACGTGTGTTTATTCTTAAATTTGAAATATTGAATTGTATCATATAATAAAAGTGCATTTATTTTAAATGTGATTGTTAAAGTAGTGATAAAAATTGGGTGTCGAAGAATAATTACAAAATGCATGCATACAAAACATTTTTACGTGCATACAAAACGTTTTTACAAAAACATAAAGTTCTGAAGGTAAGAAACCAAAGAGCAGCAAAACAGATTTTCCTCAAAGCTTAGTAGTGCTACCCCGCATTCTAACGTTATTTGAAGGGCTGTGTTTATCGGATATTTTTTGGATTCGAACACACTATACAAATGTTGCCACTACTTCTCGAAACACCCTGTATACGTAGCGTACTGAGTAATATCGGTTAAGAACATCCCTTCCACTTAACTGCTAAAATTAAGCACTTTTTTTGCAATTAATATTAGTAATTTATTATATTAAATGTTAATAACGAACAAATTAAATTATTTCTGTCATAAAATTTCAGCGAAATATCAGCAAATACCTCGTATATCTGATTTTATATTCAAAACTTCAGAGGTTTTTTCAGGGAGTTTAGAAGATTCTTTGCAGTTTACTTGGCAACAGAATACAGTACTGTATATGCAAATACATGTTCTTTTACCATCCAATTGTATGAAGGAGTTTTGTTATTAAAATGCCAATATCTAAATTAATAATTATGATCAAATATTGAGTATCAAAAAAGTGATAGTGAAATTGATAAACAATATTGAAATGTAGCATGTTCCTATTTCAAAAGATTTTTTTTAAAGTGTTCATTGAATTATTCAAACAAAAAACATTTACCATCAGCATTTACTTATTTTGATAATAGACGAATACAGTCAAACCATGGTTTTTGAACTTAATTCATTCCTAAAAGTTCGAAAATTGATTTATTCTCAAACCGAAACAAATTTTCCCATAAGACAATATAATACGGATTAATCCATTTCCGATACCCAAAACAATCTTTTTGTAAATCTTTTTAGTTGTGTTTCATGCTTAAAAATTCCTACAAATACAATATAATATAATAATATTTTTACCTATATCTATATCCATATATTACGCGAATGTCAAGTAATATGATTTTTATTAATTTAATTTAAATTCAATTGCATACCGATAAACGGAAGGTAGTATCTTATCCGCATACACATTGTAATATAATTTGAATAGCAACGTCATCGATGGTTGGTGTGGTGACATCTAATGGCTCAAAGTGATCTGGGCACCACTAACTTCTAAATCGGTAACCCGTTGTTGATTGGTTGGGTCTTCGACTTTTTTTAACACAGGAAGTTGGAGTTTACCATCTGTGTCTCTCTAATCTGTGGCTGGCTCTTACCAATCTACTTGGTAAGAGGCAACCGGGGCAAATATGGCATTGAAATTTTTGTTCGAAAAGCGAGGCGTTTGAAACCTGCGGTCTGAATGTACTGGTAAAATTGTTTACATTAATATAATTTAATTTTTTTATTAGATTAATAATGTTTAATGTTTTCTTCTTGGTTACTTGGAATTTTTTTCCTTTTTTGGTTGTTTGCTAACATACATGTTTTATCATGTAAATGGAGAATAAACAGTTTAATTTTAATAAACACAATGGTCAGATAATAAAATATAAAAATATTCACAAATTATAAAAACAATAAAAGTCTTCATATTCTGTCCTTCACACATCAAAAATATAAAGACTTATGGTTTAATGATGCTTATTTTCACATTTAGTGCAAGAATAAATAACCAAATTTTATAAATTCTGAGATTCTCAACAACTGAACAGACTACATTTTAGGTTTTCATATTTTTTCACGCTTGTTACACTCTAATTACTTTAGATATTTGCCCACCAGTGGCCAAGCGGTCTTCATACGCTGAACACTGGGAGTTCAGTCGTGGGTTAGCGCTTCTCTTGGACGGTTTGGCCACATGGAGTTTTCTGGATTTTCTCCACGTCTGTAACACCTAAATAGGAGCCAGTTTCCCTTAAAAAGACCTCCCGAAGGCATCCCCCTAGACAGATCACTTAAGTGTTTAGGCAAATAGCCCAAGTGTTGCGTTGCCGTATCTTAACAAACAAACTTTAGATATTTATAGCCCTGCGTTAGTGCACTGAATTTTTTTTCAGCATTAGTGCAGTGGGGTGTTTGTCCATCCCCTCATTTTTTTGGTCCATAAATCATGTAAGTAAAAATTCATAAAGTTTTACTCATTTATTTGGTAAAGGCATGTGTCATTGTACATATGATTATATTCAGGTATGATTACATGTTGTATTAGTACATAAATCCATGAAAATAAAAAACAACATTTATCAAAACTCATTACATTAGATATTATTAAACCAATAGTAAAAATCTAAATTGTTTTTAAGCATTTTTGTCACTCTTATTCATTAGCTGACATTGTACTTTGGCACTCAATGCAAATGACAAGAAGCTTGCTATGTTTGGTATTTTCTCAGTGTGTTTATCAAAGTCAGCTGTTTTGAATTTGTAAAGGAATAAAACTAATTAAAATAAACTTATAATAATCAATGTGAATAAAAATAATTTATCTATATTATAAATAATAAATGTGATCACATTATAGTTATTCTAAAAATAAAAAACACTAGTTAAATATTTATAAAATTTAAAAAAAAAAACGTAACTGATACTGTGGGGTGTTTGGACACCCCATTGAGAACTGTAGTCTTTCTCTTACTGGAATTTCTGCAACATCGTAGTAATTTCTGAGCATGCTCTATACATAAAATCATGAAGCTACTGAAGAGGACACAAATATTTCTTGCGAAATCTATGAATAGTGCAACTTTTAAAACGTTGGGAGTGGCGAAACACCCCACTGCACTAGCCCAGGGATAGGGAATGAGAAAAGGTTGAAGAAGTGTTTGAGTGGCTGTGATAACCTAGGTTTGAATCCTGGTCATGGCACTTCTTTTTTCAATTAACATTAGTAATTTATTATTTTAAACATTAATAACCAACAAATAAAACTTATTCAATAGAAATGTGATTTATAAAATACAGCATGTAGAAACGGATTACTATATTATTTGTATTTTATAAATCATATTTCTATCGAATAACAGTTTTATTTGTTGGTTATTAATGTTTAAAATAATAAATTACTAATGTTAATTGAAAAAAGAAGTGCCATGACCAGGATTCAAACCTAGGTTATCACAGCCACTCAAACACTTCTTCAAACTTTTCTCATTCCCTATAAATTCTAAAGTAATTAAAGTGTAACAAGCGTAAAATATATGAAAACCTAAAAAGTAGTCTGTTCAGTTGTTGAGAATCTAAGAATTTATGCAATTTGGTCATTTATTCTTGCACTAATTATGAAAATAAGCAGCATTAAACCATAAAGTCTTTATATTTTTGATGTGTGAAGGCTTTTATTGTTTTTTTAATTTGTGAATATTTTTATATTTTATTATCTGACCATTGTGTTTATTAAAATTAAACTGTTTATTCTCCTATTTTTTAAAAAATATTCTTTTCGCCCTGTGGGCACTAAGAGCAGCAGGCCCATTCTGGGTTCGGCCAGAGCCACAATGGGGCAACCGGGTGGTGAGGGACGGGGCCCTACATATCCGAACAAACCATCTCCGAAAGATTCCTGGGAATTCCTTGACCCGTCCGGATTCGTTCCCGGGTCCCCAGAGCTGTTGGTTGCCACCTTGACTGCTCGGCCATCCGGCCATTTACAATACATGATATGCTAGCAAGCGACCAAAAAAGAAAAAAAGTTCTAAGTATCCAAGAAGAAAAAAATAAACATTATTAATCTAATAAAAAANTAATTCATGTATATTTATTAAATTTATCTTATTAAATTTCCTGAACTTTATAAAATTTTAATAAACTAGAAAAAAAAACCAGAAATTGTTTTGTTATGCAATCAAAATTATTAAAATAGACTATAGCTGCTATAGCTATAGAGACCAATAAATTCCCAAATTTAGGGCAAGTAGTGGCCCTTTAAGAAATTTCAATAAGTGCACTATGTGTTACTCTCACAATATTGAGACAATATTTAATCTTAAAATGTTGTATAATTAGTCTTGAGTAATAGCATTAAAAGAATGCATTATAAATTCATTTTTTTAATGTTTCAATATCTGTAACAGATCTTTGATAAACCAGGCCATTCACATAACCCCACAAGAAAAAATTCAAACAGAGCAGGGTGAAAATAATATTGGTTTAGTTTGTCCTATTCATCTGTTAGGAAAAACTGCAATAACAGTAGCACCCTGTGTTTTTTTGTAATGCAAAAACAAATAATTTTATATTTTGCTGAGTGTAACTGTAAACCCTGTGTTGATCTGTTTTTCTTCAATACATAATACTTTTCATTATCTGACAATTCTTTTTTGGACACACTGTATTTAGTTAATTTGAACTTACATGAATGAATTTTGATCTAAAAATATTTATTAATTTAATTTAGTTTATCCACATTCATTATTGAGATTAAATTAATTAGCCTAATAAATATGGCTATAATAAATTGAAATTGGGGATGAGAAACAAACAGATGAAATTTTTTACAACATAGTCTTTAATTACTTACAATCAAATTTTAGAATGCATTTAAGGTACCAAAACTCCTCACCAGCCTACATACATCCATGCAGTATAAACACAAACCCATCAATAAATCTCAACACAAATAGCAGTTCCAAACTAAAAATTCTTTTGTGTAAATACGGTGCACTGTTTACATAATATAAAACCAATACATTACAATACAGTAGACCACCCCTGACATGGGTTCATATAACACGGCAAAAAAATTGCGATCATGTTCGTATAACATGTTAAAAGAGACTCGTATAACACGATAAAAGAATGAGACAGATTGTCGTGTCACAACAGGATTGGTTGAATCTGAACCAATAGTGGATGAGCAGCCAAACTACTTGCCACTGTCCAGCGCCACGCGTATATACAGAGAGTTTAGGCGGGAAAGTTGAATTTACTATCGTCTGTACAGTATATAAATTAGGTACTGTCAGTCTAATACTATAATTTTTACATTGTCT